GTTTAAAAGATCTTATCCAAAATGAAGATGTGAAACCCAAGCTGCAGTACATCATGACTAACCCTTCCTTTTCTATGGTAACAGTTCAAAGTGAAGATAGTGGGATAACCTGGGAAACCAGCTCAAGCAGATGTTCTACTCCCTGGGCATCAGAAACTAGTACAACTTCTGGTCTTTATAGTATGGAAAGTTCACCAGTAGGTTCTCCTCCAGGAAAAGTTATCTTTATTATGGATGAAGGTAAGATTATTCGGAAAAGGAAGCGTAAATCTTCAAATAGGGTGCCAATGCCTACAAATCTGAAGGGAGGCCAGGGCAATAAAAAAACGTGACTCTTCTGGAATGCAGAGGCAAGAACCAAGAACTGTTCTAGGAGAGGTGCAGGGCTCAGTGTTAAACGTTGAACAAATGGAAGCACAAGATACAGATGAGGAAATGTTGGACGACGAAGAAGATCTAGAGACCATTGCAGAAGAGCCAGTAAAACGTGCTACAATAATATCAATATTTAGAGAAAGCAGACTGAGAAAAGTAGGGCTGATCCTTGGAGGACCAGTACAAGCTAGAATCCAGCTGTTCAACTCAATTTTTGGAGGGACTGGGCCAGCCCCTGAAACACTAGTCCTGCCCTCCTGAAGAAGCCAGGAAGCAGCAAAGTTATTCACCTGTGGCCAAAATGGCAATAACAGAGCAATCAACATCCGTTTCATTAGAGTCTGATGATAAATCAGAGAAACAAGTGCTGCTTCCTTCAGCTGAAACTGCAAACAAGAAACCAGACCAATCCCTGCTGACAGCATCAGATCCTCTGGATGAACTGATGGAGCAGGAAATTCAGCCCAATTCTGCACCACAGTCTGTTTCAGCAGATTTTGTTAATGAATTAGATAGACAAAGTACCCAACCTATTTTGCCTACTGCATCCATGTCAGAACATCCTGAGAGGGAAGCACAGAAGTCAGCAGTTCAGTCTTACTTACCTAGTGCTCCATCAGCTAAATCCAAATATTCCACTCTATCTGAAAAAAGACAGGAGAATATTATTCCTCAGTCATCAGAAACTGCACAATCTGAGTCTGAACATGTGCTTTTACCACATTCTGTATATGAAACAGCGAAGCAAGAAACTGAGTGTCGCTCATCAACAACAGCATGGTCAGAAACCGAGCATTCAGGTCTATTGCATTCTGCTAAAAAAAAAGAGAGTCAAAAGACCCCACCACCAGAAACACAAAATGTTCACTTAGAGAAGCAAACAGATTCCGAACGAGACTTTTCCTCCTCCCTTCAGGAAACAGAGGAGCAAGGAATTAAACTAAATTCACCTATTCCTGAAAAGATAGATTCTAAATATTTTGGCATTTCATATCCTATTTGCACAGAAACACAAGAAACTCAGAAAACTTCAACTGTAAATAAAGCAGTAGATTTGGATCACCCTGATTTTTCCACTGAAAAAAACAAGCAAGTTTTTGTGTACAAGAGTACGCAAATGGAGATGGAGCATCCAGATTTCTCATACTCCAGAGAAGAAACAGAGGAATTGGAGAGTGCCCAACTGGAGACAGAATATCCTGAATTGCTTTTTTCCACGAAAGAAACAGAAGAATTGGAAAGTGCCCAATTGGAGACAAAGCAGCCAGATTTCTCATATTCCATGGAAGAAACAGAAGAATTGGAGAGTGCACAGCTGGAGATGGAGCATCCAGACTTTTCTTTTTCCAGGGAAGAAATGGAGGAATCTGAGAGTGCACAACTGGAGATAGAACATCCAGATTTCTCATATTCCAGCAAAGAAATTGGAGAATCAGAAAGTGTACAACTGAAGACGGAGCATCCAGATTTCTCATATTCCAAAGAAGAAATGGTGGAATCAGAGAGTGCACAGCTGGAGATGGAGCATCCAGACTTTTCTTTTTCCAGGGAAGAAACAGAGGAATCAGAAAATGCACAGCTGGAAACAGAACATCAGGAGTTTTTATTTTCCAGGGAAGAAACAGAAAAAGAAAAATCCGTTCCTTTTGAACTGGAACAGCCAGAGTCTTATTCCCCTGAAGAAGCAGAGCAAGAAGAAACAGCACAGCTTGCGTTGGAACCTTCAGATTTATTGTGTTTGATGGAAGAAGCAGAGAAAGAAAACACTACAGAACTCCAATTGGTACATCCAGATATATCTGATTCCACTGGAAGAGCTGAGACACAGCAAACTGGGTATCTGAAAACAGCACATTCAGATTTACCATATCCCATGAATAAAACAAAGCAGCAAGAATTGGCACAAGTAGATTTGGAGAATTCTATTATGTCATATTTTAGTGACAAAGGAGAACAGCCACAGCCTGTACAGCAGGATTCACAACCTGGAGGTAAGCTGTATTCCCATGCCAAGAGAGTGCAAGGAGAAATTACTCAACTGCAGTCAGAGCATCCAGTTTTGTCATATTCTACTGGAAAAGAACAGCAATATAAAAACTCACAGATAAGGGTAGAACAGCTGGATACATCGTATTCCACTGGCAAAACTGAACAACAGGAAATATTGCAACCAAAGTTGGAACAAGCAGATTCAACATATTCCCATGGAGAAACAGCACAAGAAGCTGTACAAAAAGACTTTGGCAGAATGGAACAAGATATAGTACAAAGAGAGCTGGAACAGCAGGAAACAGCCCAACAAAAAGCTATGCAAATGGAACTGGAGTATTCAGATTTGTCAGAAATCTGGGGGAAAGAAGAGCCACAGGACATAGACCAAATGAATTTGGCACAGCAAGAAACAGCTCAACCAGAGTTAGTGCATCTGTCTTTGCCATATTCTTTCAGTGAACAAATACAAGAAGAAATGCAAATGGAGCCAGCATATTCAGAACAGACATTTTATGTAAGTACAGAAGTGCAGGAGAAAATGACACAACACAAATCAGAGCAACCATTTCTTTCATATTTTACTGGCAAAACAGAGCAACAAGAAATAGTACATTCAGAGCTGGAGCAAACATTTTTGCCATCTTCTTCTAGTGGAAAAGAAGCTCCACTGGAAATGAGTTCAGAATATCCATATTTGTCATATTCCTTTCAGGAAGCTGAACAACAAGAAAAATTGGAACATCCATCCTTACCATTTAGTTTGAAGCAACAGGAAACTGCACCACTGGTGATGGAACGTCCAGATTTTTTCATGTGACAGTGGTGAAGCAAAACCAGGCGACACTGTAGAGCAGGAGTCAGAACACCCAGAGCTGTCATACTCCATGGGAGAAACACAAGAATCAGAACATTTGGATTCACCAGGAACCTTGGGTGAAGGAGCACAAGATGAAAGTATGGAAGTGGAATCCCAAATTTGTCATGTTCTGATGGCCAAAAAAACCAGCAAGAAACTTCACAATTGGATTCAAAATATCCAGATTTATCATTTTTCTTTGGTAAAGCCAAAGAACAAGCAACTCAAGAGTTTGAACCAAAACATCAAAAATTGCCTAAAGTGGCCAGAAAAAGAGTTTCTCAAGCAACTGCACAAATAGAGTCAAAATATCCAGATTTGACATATTCCCTTGGCAAAGCAGATGAGCTGGAAATCGCACCATGGGAAGTGAAACATCCTGATTTGTCAGATTCCACTGATGAGACAAACCAACAAGAAGTAGTACTGTTGGATCAGAAACACAGAAAAATTTCTGTTGACAGAGAAAAGCATCAGCAAACCACAAACCAGCAGTTAGAGCAAGAAAAGTTATCATATTCTCCTGGCAAAACAGAACAATTAAAATATGCCCAAGAGGACTTGGAACAACCAGATTTATTGTTTTCCATTGACAGGCCAGATGATGAAATGGCCCCACCAGAGACAGAACATGCTGATGTGATACATCCTCTGGACAAAGCAGAGGTATGACGAAGAGTACGACAAGAATCAGAGCAAACAGGTTTAACTTTCCCCTTTGGAAAAGCAGAACAGAAAACAGTTCAGCCAGATGTGGAAATTCCACATTTGGCCCATTCTGTGGGTACAGCAGAACAAAAAGAAATGGCAGAACCAGGGCAGGGACATCCTGACTTGCCTTATTCTGTTTTCAAAGAAGGAGGACTGCAAACTGCACAACTGAAACCTGAATACCCTGGTCTAGCATGTTCCCTTGACAAAGTGCAGGAAACAACCCAGCTGAGGTTGGAACAGCTGGATGTGTTGTATGTCCGTGACAAAACAGAGCAACTCCCACCTGCCCAGCTGGAGCTGGGCCACACAAACTTGGCATCCCCTGATGACGGGATGGAGCACACAGCCTTGGGATGCCCTGATGAGGGACAGTCTGTCAGCAGAGCAGAGTATCCACAAGCTGCAAAAGAGAAACTAGGACTTCCAGTTGCATCATCTCATAATGGAAAAGCAGAGCAAAGAGAAATGGCAAAACCAGAGCCGAAGCATCCTGATTTATCATATTCCATTGATAAAACACAGCCACAGTCGCATTCCACTGGCACAGCACAGCAACAAGAAAAGGTTCAACCAGAGCTGGAACAGCCAGGTGATTTTTCATCATCTCTTGGCAAAGAAGAGCAATGGGAAAGTTCAGGAATGCAGGCAGAACGCCCTGAGCTGCAGTGCTCTATGGGGAAAACAGAACGACTGCAAAATTCCCAAACAAAATCAGAATATGCAGATTTGTCATTCTCTGTTGGCACAGCAGAAACTCATAAAACAACACAGCCACAGTTGAAAGAACATGATTTGTTGCATTCTTTTGTCAAAACAAAGCAATCATGGGCAGCCCCACTGGAATCTGAACATCCAGACATCTCAGATGCCATGCGCAAAGTACTACACCCTGATTTGTCCTCTTCTGTTAGTGAAGAAAAACGAAGTGCACAACTGGAGTTCAAACAGGAGAGGGGAAGCTATGCATTACACCCAGAGGAAACAGTACAACTGAAATTGGAACGGCCGATGTTGTCAAGTTCTCATGGCACAGCAGAGCAACCAAATAGAGCCCCACTGGAAGGGGAATTCCTGAACTCTGGCAAAAAAGAGCAACAAGAAATGGCAAAACAAGAGTTGGAGCATTCGGATTTATCATATTCCACTGATAAAACACAGCAACAAGAAACCACACAACTTGGGTTAGGACAACCAGATTTATCATCTTGCCCTGGCAAGACAGTGCAACCACAAACTGTTCAAGTGGAAGCAGAACAACAGGACTTGCTGCATTTCACTGGCAAAACAGAACAGCAAAGAACAGCACAACCAGAGGTTGAGCATCCAGATTTGTCATATTCCAGGGGCAAAGTAGAGCAGACGCAGGCCATGCAATGGAAATCAGAGCAGCCTGTAATACCCCATCCCATTGGGAAAACAGAGCAACAAGGAATGGTACATCCAGAGCGGGAACTTCCCAATTTATCATATTCCATTTGCAAAACACTGTCACAAGAAACGACACAAATGGGCTTAGGACAACAAAATTTAACATATGCCTTGGTAAAACAGATGAAGTACAACCTGTGCAAGGTGAACTGGAACATACAGGTTCGTTGTATTCTTCTGACAAAAGAGAACACAAAATGGTATTGCCAGAGTTGCGACATCCACAGCTATCTTATTCTGTTAGAGAAATAGAAGAGGAAGCTACACATCAGAAATCAAACTATCCAGATTTGTCATATTCTGTTGGCCAACAAGAGCACCATGAAACTGAACAACCAGAGGTGGCAGAAATGGATTTATCCTATCCAGCTGGCAAATCAGAGCACTCGCAACCTGGCCAAATAGTACTGCAACAGCCAGAGCTTTTCAAGTCCTTTGGCAAACTAGAGGAAAAGGGAATGGCCCAGCCTGGCTTTTTGCACTTCCTTGGTGAAGAAAAGCGGAAACCAGCTTCATGGTTAGACTTAGTGCAACAAGGTTTATCACATTCACTTGGCAAAACAGAAAAACAGGAAACTGCACAAGCAGGGTTCATGCCTTCTGATTTTTCATATTCCACAGGAAAAGCAGAGCAGTTGCAAATGGAACAACTAAAATCAAAACATCCAGATTTGTCATATTCTCTTGGCAAAGCAGAGACTCGTGGAATAAACCCACCAGATTTATTGTACTCCTATGGCAAAGCAGAGCAGCCACAGGCTGCCCAGCTGGAGCACCCAGAAATGTCATACTTCGCAGATGAAATGGAGCGGGGGGATGGGGCCCAACCTGAACTGCAGTGTGTTAATTTGCAGTACTCTGTTGTTGAAACAGAGCTATCAGAAACACCTTCTGTATCATATACCTTTGGCAGGATCGAGGAGCAGGAAACTGCACAACTGGACTTTGAACAATCAGATTTATCAAGTTCTACTGATAAAGCAGAAAAGCATGAAACAGCCTCACTGAGAGCAGGACGTTCAGAGAAGCGAGACACTGGGGCTACTTCATTTCTAACTGCTCAGTTGGAAACTGAACAACAAGATTTATCCTTTTCCACTGAGGAAGCAGAGAGCCAAAAAATTAAACTGTATTCATCTCTTCCTGAACAAACAGTGTCTGTACCTTTGAGTATTTCACATTCTGTTTCTGAAACAAAAATGGAAGGAAGCCCAAACTCTACCTGTGTAACTGGAAGCCTGTCCCCCAAGCACTTAGATTTATCTTACACCCATTCTAAAACAGAACAGTCAGAAACTGCCCAGCCTGAGTCAGGTTACTTATTTGCAGGAAAAGAAGCAGAGAATACAAAAGTTCATCCACATTTGCCTGTGGCTGCACAGTCAGAGTTTGAACATGTAATTTTACCTGAAACAGAGAGAGAACAGACTCCACATTACTTCCACACAGCTACACAATTAGAATCTGAACAATTAAATTTATCATATTCTATAGATAAAGCAGAAAATCTAGAAAGTCAAGATTATTTAACTGTACCTTCAAAACCGGAGTCTCAATCTTCAGTTCCATTTTATTCAGCTGATGAAACATGTCAGCAAGAAATTCCACCTTACTCAAAACCTGTCTCTCAGTATTTGGTTCCCACATGGTCCCTTGCTGAACAAGAAAAGCAAAGCATGCAGCTACTTATTCCCCAGTCTGCACAATCAGAGTGTAAACATGTAATTCCACCACATGATGAAAAAGAATTGCAAAAAATTCAGCTATATTCACCTAAACCAGCAAGCTTGAAGACAGTGCAGTTGGAGAGTATGCCTTGAACGTGCACACAAGACCAAGATGAGCAAGAATCTCAAGATCATTTGTTGGACACAGAATATTTGTCATCAGAGCAGCTAAGAAGTCCCCCCAAATTCCCTACAGATCAGGATAAGCAAGAAATGCAACCTGATGTGCAGAAAGTACAAAGGTTGGTGACCACAGAGTCAAAGGTGACTGCTGTAGCAGACTGGAAAGCAGTGTCATCGGATTCATTTGTACCTTTTCATACATTACCTGAAATGTCAGTATCAGTGGCTTTCACTGATGATGAAGAGAAACAAAATATTCCATCATCTTTATCCGATGTAGTAGGCATGCTTGGAAAGCAATCTAACATAGTTTCAGGCATTTATACTGAAGGAAAGGATAGACATGAAATGCAACCATATTTTGCAGAGCAAAAGCACACATCCTTAGAGCATCTGGGAGCTGTTTCATCAGATCTTGTTTACGAAACTGTGACACACCAAACTCAGCATTATTCTGGTGAATGGAGCAGCTTTTCTTCAGCAGAGACAAAATCCGTTTGCTCTAGTTCTGATGAAAAGCAGAACCCAGATATTCCATCTTTTGGGCTAGCTAGCTGGCTGGCAGAAGAGGTGAAAGCTTGCTCAATTAGTCCAATAAGAGCTACAGAAGTAGACAAGCAAGGAATTCAACTTTCTCCAAATGAAGCTTCTGGTTTTGGATCAAAACAATTCCCAGCTGGAAGTTGCACAGAACACAGTTCATGGTACTACAAAGAATAAAGGAGATATGTTTAGAGTTTCTGATTCAGTGTCAAGTGAAATTTCCCACAGAATGTCCTCAGAAACTTGTCACAGCGCACAAGGGTATGATTTACCATCTCTGGGAGGAGACAATCCAGGTCCAGACAAAACTAGCATTGGAAACCCTACAAAAATGGAAGCAATGCAACATCTGGAGGTAGAAAAAGTGTCTGAAGTGCCTGAATGTTACCTGAGAAGAGAAGAAGAAGAAATGGAACATGTGAGCGCTGTAGAATACAGTGAGCATGCTCCAGAACCTACTGAACAAAAAAATCTATTTAATATTATTTCAGAAGGTTATGAAATACTCAATATTCATGCTCCTACACATATTTCTTCTGTTGATCAAGAAGAAAGTAAACACATGCCGGATGATAAATTAGAATACTTGGAAACAAATCCTTCATTTAAAAGCAAATTAGCTGATGATTGCCATAGAGCCTTAGCTTCTGGAACAACCACAGAAATTTCAGAAAGCTCAGTGTTGGGAAAGCCTGCAAGCCATGAGCTAAAAGAATTGGTCAAAAATGATGATGTTGAGGAAACTGAAGAAACACAACAAGAAAATTCCATGTTGCTAGGAAACAATAATAATGCAGTGTTGTATCCTAATAATGGTATGGCCGATATGGATTATTTTGAAAAATATACCTTGATTGATGACAAATCCCCAATTAAGCCACATTTCGAAAGACCAAGTTCATTGTTTCCTGTGACAGAAGATCCCAATGAACCTGTGGAAGAAGCCACATCTTTTAAAGAAAGTGCTGAGGTAGATACTTTGGAAGAGGAATTTTCCTTACTTGAGGATCTGGATGAAGTCTTTTACGGTACTGTGAAAGGAGAAAAAAAAATTCAGTCCTATGCAGATGCTCCAAAACCTTTACCTCTGCAGAAATCAACTGACATTAGCAGTAAAAAAGTTACAAATGTAGAAGATGAACAGAAGTCACCAGAGACCTCACTCTTTAATTCAGAAGAAGGAGTGCTAGAACGATTGCTGTTGTTCCCTACCACTGTTGCTGCAGTTAATCCAGAGCTTCTAGAGGAGCCACCTGCTCTGTCATTTTTATACAAGGACCTCTATGCAGAAGCAGTAGGAGAAAAGACAAAAGATGAGACTCCTTCTGATGAGGAAAGTGGTAATTCTAATGTGTCTTTCCCT